TTATTGAAATTTGAGAAAGATACTAGGGTTTGAAATTTTCAAAATAAGGAAATCTCAATTTTTTGGGAAAAATGTGGTAACTTTTTTGTTTTTTGTTGTACAGAAAAGTGTCTAAAGGAAAAGTTATTTGTTTTTGCACATAATATAAGGAGAAAGAGAGAAAAAAATATTTTATTGAAATTTGAGAAAGATACCAGGGTTTGAAATTTTCAAAATTAGGAAATCTCAATTTTTTGAGAAAAATATTGTAACTTTTTTGTTTTTTGTTGTACAAAAAAGTGTCTAAAGGAAAAGTTGTTTGTTTTTGCACAAAATATAAGAAGGAAAGGAGAAAAAAATTTTTTATATAAATTTAAGAAAGATACCAGGGTTTGAAATTTTCAAAATAAGGTAATCTCAATTTTTTGGGAAAAATGTGGTAACTTTTTTGTTTTTTGTTGTACAGAAAAGTGGCTAAAGAAAAAGTTGTTCGTTTTTGCACAATATATAAGGAGGAAGAGAGAAAAAAATATTTTATAGAAATTTGAGAAAGATACCAGGGTTTGAAATTTTCAAAATAAGGAAATCTCAATTTTTTGGGATAAATGTGGTAACTTTTTTGTTTTTTGTTGTACAGAAAATTGTCTAAAGGAAAAGTTGTTTGTTTTTGTACGGAATATAAGGAGGAAAAGAGAAATAAATATTTTATTGAAATTTGAGAAAGATACAAGGGTTTGAAATTTTCAAAATTAGGAAATCTCAATTTTTGGTACTTTTTTGGGGAAATTTTGTGGTAACTTTTTTGTTTTTTGTTGTACAGAAAAGTGTCTAAAGGAAAAATTGTTTGTTTTTGCACAATATATAAGGAGGAAGAGAGAAAAAAATATTTTATAGAAATTTGAGAAAGATACCAGGGTTTGAAATTTTCAAAATAAGGAAATCTCAATTTTTTGGGAAAAATGTGGTAACTTTTTTGTTTTTTGTTGTACAGAAAAGTGTCTAAAGGAAAAATTGTTTGTTTTTGCACAATATATAAGGAGGAAGAGAGAAAAAAATATTTTATAGAAATTTGAGAAAGATACCAGGGTTTGAAATTTTCAAAATAAGGAAATCTCAATTTTTTGGAAAAAATGTGGTAACTTTTTTGTTTTTTGTTGTACAGAAAAGTGTCTAAAGGAAAAATTGTTTGTTTTTGCACAATATATAAGGAGGAAGAGAGAAAAAAATATTTTATAGAAATTTGAGAAAGATACCAGGGTTTGAAATTTTCAAAATAAGGAAATCTCAATTTTTTGGGAAAAATGTGGTAACTTTTTTGTTTTTTGTTGTACAGAAAAGTGTCTAAAGGAAAAATTGTTTGTTTTTGCACAATATATAAGGAGGAAGAGAGAAAAAAATATTTTATAGAAATTTGAGAAAGATACCAGGGTTTGAAATTTTCAAAATAAGGAAATCTCAATTTTTTGGGATAAATGTGGTAACTTTTTTGTTTTTTGTTGTACAGAAAATTGTCTAAAGGAAAAGTTGTTTGTTTTTGTACGGAATATAAGGAGGAAAAGAGAAATAAATATTTTATTGAAATTTGACAAAGATACCTGGGGTTGAAATTTTCAAAATAAGGAAATCTCAATTTTTTGTACTTTTTTGGGAATAATTTTCTTTTATTCACCAATAATATGTGGTGCACTATTTTTTTTTTATGCTTTTGGGAGTAGATGAAAGTAGGAAAAGCATGTTACACCACTTATTTTTTAGTGAAGGATGAAAATAGAATTTGATTACTTTAATTTATATTTTTTTTTGTAAATTAAATTATTTCAAAAATATTTTACCAAATTTTAATTGTTTGAAAGATTTCTATTGCATATATAATTAAAAAAACTATTATCTTTCAAAAATTATTTTTAAATTGTTTTAGTTATAATTAGTTGTAAGGATTTGTTTACTATATTTTTTTGAAAACATTATATATTAATAACTTAAGATTAAAACACTGACGGTTTCAATTATTATTAGTTGTTGAGTTTCCGTAAACTTTCATATTTTCCGTGTAAAAAGATTTTGTCATGAAAAATAATTTTAATGTCAATAAATTGTCAGGGAATTTTGATAAACTGAAACTTGTGACGAACCATGAAAAGTGAGAGGATAATTTTTATTAAACGTACTTATAGACAAATAAGACAATAAGTTACCTTCAAGTATATTTTTATTTTAATATTATTAGCGTGGAATGAAATTACAGGGTGTACAATGTCATTTCCATTTGGAAATTGATACTAAATCTAAATGTCTAGTGTTCACAAAATGCATTATTTTTTAAATATTTACACATGAGAATTAATCCCTTTTTTTATATATATAAATCTCTGTCGGACTATTGTTTACATATTAAAGTGATCGTAAATATTCTATAAAATTTTATTGATTTACAAAAAGAATATTTATATCGCAAAATTCAAATGTTTGAAAATATCCCAAAAAATTTGCTCTTCAAAATAATTTTTATCAATATGGGTAAAATTATTTTGTAAAGTTGTTCTTTTCTCAATTATCAGAAACAAAAAGACTCGTAAAATTATTCTTTAATTTTCTTCAATTTTATGAATTAATTTTATTAACTTTATAAATTTTATAAATTTTATAAAAAGCATTTTATTAACCAAAAGCACTTTTTATTGAATTTGTAAAGAAGAAAAAAATTCTATTTACGAATTTTTGGCAAACTTTTTTGAGAAATTAAACTAAAATATATCGATGAAAAATAAATATACAAAATAATATCAATTTTACTATAAACGTAAATAACAAAATTAAAAAATATTTCGAGATTTTTAGATCCTTTTTTTTATTATATTGTTTTTATGTGATGTTTAAACTAGTGATATTGTGGATTAAAATTTGCAATTAGTGGTAAGTAACTACGTTGTTGTGACTTCTGATTTTAACGTGCTACTAGTTCTCGTTTTTTTTTTCAATGAATAACCACTGCAAAAAATATAACTACGTTGACTATGTAATGAACATTTTTTTCCGTCGAAGTAATTCATCAACTTAATTATTAATATAAAAATTTTAACGCAGGTTAAAAATTTATCTATTATACGAATTTCTTGAACAGTACTTATATTTTACTAAAAATCACAAATTTCATTAGTTTTCGAGAATGAAATACAAAAAAAAAATTCTTTTTCTCTGCTTTAATAATTTAATATTTAATAATTAATAATTAATAATTAATAATTTTAATAATTTTAATAATTTTAATAATTTTAATAATTTTAATAATTTTAATAATTTTAATAATTTTAACAATTCAAATAAATTAATTAAATTACAGTTTTTCAAAAGTGTTAAATTTTGACTTCTTTAAAAGAAAGCAATTAACAATTTTCTATTTAATTCGATGAATTAATTTTTTACTAAATTAACTCAAATAGGAGAATTCTCAAAACTTAATTTATTCTTCTCTAATATTAACTTATTATTATAACGTCTTTTTTTATCATTTTAAAAGGTTTCTTTTTTTTTAAATTCAGTAGCAAAACCTGCATAAAACGATAATAATTAATAAACAATTTACATGACTATAACTTTTCACAGAAATTAAATTTCAATTATAAAAATTATTCACTCATGTCTGGCAATTATTGTTGCATTAAACTAATTAATTAATTATATAAAAAAAGAAATCGAAATATCAGTCGAAAATCTTGAACTTTGGATATTGGAAAAGAAAGATTTAGAGAGCCTCGAATTTGCACGACGAAGCATCTAATTAGACGGAAAAAGAAAAAAGTAGAATCACAGTTGATTAGGTACAATGACTCAAAAAATAAATAAGTATTCTCGTCGTACTATGGAATGTACTGTCAAGTACAAAGAGAAAAGTTTTTCTTGATCGTTTATCTGCAACTCGACACGATTACAAAACGGACTCGTGATCGGGAATTAATGTGATAACATATTTTTTTTCGATAGGACGCAATATTTTTTTTTTCTAGCTTGTATGTACGTATTTTTTCATTAAAAAAAAAAACAAAAAAAATTCGATTAATCTTAGACTAGTTTGATACAAAAAAAAAAAAAATTAGCTAGAGCCAGGGATTTTAAAATTATTGAACTATTGTAATTATTTCTTATGAGGGGAATTTTTAAACTGCAAGGCCATCGGTTTGCTGATTCACTGAAAAAAATATTCATTAAGTTTTGATGGTTCAACTGAAGGACTATTTTTTTATTTTAATTTTCAAAAATTACTTTGATTGCAATAAAAACTTTGCTTTGAAACTCGACGCAAAATTATTGTACAATAAAATTTTAATTTGAAGAAGAGATAAATAAATTTCGTTCAGAATTTTAGGGACATTTTTCGAGAAAATTTCCATGATTTTCTTTATTTACTTTACTTAATTAAAGTTCAGAACTTTTAGAATATTCTTCAATAAAATTTCCATATGATTTTTTTTTATTTAATTACTTTACTGAAGGAAAATAATTTTTTCGAATTGTTTAACAAAGTTTTGGAACAATTTAAAAAATATTTAAACAAATCAATTTTTAATATTTGATTTTAAAAAAATGGAGAGCGAGGGAAAATATTTTTTAATATTTGATTTAAAAAAATGGAGAGCGAGGGGAAATATTTTTTAATATTTGATTTTAAAAAAATGGAGAGCGAGGGAAAATATTTTTTTCAGTGAACGATATTAGAAACGAAATCTAAAACAAAAACACACGTTTTTTTTCTATATTTGGGAATTTTTCTGTGTAAAAAGGGGGGAGGGGAGCGTATTTTGTAAAACGTAACAATAGTGATTTTTGACTACATAAGGTCGATGAAAATCTGAGAGGTTTATATCGTGATTTTTAAGAGGCACCTAGTTTTCTTTCTTTCTGCTAAGGAAATATAAATCTTCAAATTTCGAGTGACTTTTAGAAATTTGGACAAAATCCTCCCACATTCAGATCGTAGGTTTGTTGATATTTTTTTTTTTTTTTTTGTAAAGAATTGCTTCTTATATGAAAAAGAAAACGGCACGTTTAATCAGTGCGTGTGAGGCTGTGTCAAAGCAAACACCAATTTGAATCGACGTGACAATTAGGTACGACGTCAACTTTTACATATAATTATTTTAATATGTACTTCGCGGACGAATACCTGACTGTGTGTGGCACCGAGTTTTTTCTTTCATATATCTCGTGAATTGACTCTTCTTTTTTTAACCTGCAAAAAAAGAAAAAAAAATTAAATATTAATTGAAAAAAATAATTTTTATCTGCTTGAAAAAAAAGTGTTTTTTTAATTAATTTAATTTAGTTTCAATACCATCACACAACTTCTTTGAGATTATCACGACTCTGTGAGTGAATAGTGTGTCGCATCTCGCCTCCTGGTGCACTGTCTCGTCTCAAAACTCCGGGTCCTATCACTTCTCGTTTATTCGCCGCTTCCTTAATGCTCGACAATGTTTTACTAAGCCATGGCCAACTGTTTCTAGCTGCCGTCAATTCAGCCGCAGTTGCGTGCAATTGATGTGTCAAGTCCTGTTTAAAAATTAAAATTTTTTTAATTAAAATTATTTTTTAGAAATTATTTTCAACAAATTATTCATTTAAAAATTATTTTCTAAAAAATAAGTTTTTTAGAAATTATTTTCTATGAATTATTTTTTTAGAAATTATTTTCTACGAATTATTTTTTTACAAATTGTTTTCTACACATTATTTTTTTTGGAATTGTTTTCTACATAAATTTTTTAGAAATTTTTTTCTACATAAATTATTTTTTTTAGAAATTATTTTCTACAAATTATTTTTTTAGAAATTATTTTCTACGTAAATTATTTTTTTAGAAATTATTTTCTATATAAATTATTTTTTTAGAAATTATTTTCTAGGAATTATTTTTTTTAGAAATTATTTGAAAATTCTGAAGTCTCACCTGATTTCTACATTCCGCCTCCACGTGAGCCAATTTTGTCTGAGCAAGTTCCAATTCAAGTTCACGTACCCTTTCCTGAGCTCTATTGAGAATTGGATCTATTCGATTTTCTAAGGGATGAGCAATATCCGCTAGAATATTGGCCGATTCCTTCAAGTAATTCCTACATTTATCACATTTCGATATCTTCGTCTGTAGATGAAAAACCAATTCACAATTAGTTATTATTTTATTCGCAGACTTAATTTAATTTATAATCGATAATTTTTTCTAAACAATAATACTTTTAATATTGAAATTTATTTAATCATACATTCAAATTAGATCTCTCATTTTTCAGAAAATAATTCACCTTTTTACGTAACAAGGTGAATTATTTTCTAAAAAATAGGAGAGAAAAAAAAATTTTAATTATAATTATTATAAATAAAAATACAATTAACAATTTATTTTTATTACAATACGTTTTAGTAAAATTATTCGAAGCAATTAAATTATTTTCATCAATTTTAATAAAATTCTGGTCAAAAATTCAATTATTTTCGTAAATAACAAAATTTATCACAGGAATTGAATTATTTAAAAATATTTTAATAACATTCTTGACAAAAATTCAATTATTTTTATTAATATAAAAATTCTTTACACAAATTCAATTTTTTTCGAAAATTTAAGGAATATTTTTGTCAAAAATTTAATTATTTTCATAAATAAAAAAAAAAATTCTTTACATAAATTCAATTCTTTTAAAAAATTTAAGTAAAATTCTTGTCAACAATTTCAATTATTGTCATAAATAACAAAAATTTTCGCAGAAATTCGATTAATTTAAAAATTTTTAATAATATTTTTTGCTGGAATTCAATTATGTATCTTTATAAATAAAAAAAATTCTTTGTAGAAATTCAATTTTTAAAAATATAAGTGTAAAATTCTGGTAAAAAATTCAATTATCTTCAGAAATAATAAAAGCTTCAAAAAAATCCAATTCTTTAAAAAAATGTTAAGAAAATTCTTCGCAAAAATTCAATTATTTTCATAAATAAATAACAAAATTCTTGACCGGAATTCAATTTTTTCATTACAATTTTAATAAAATTTCTGGACAAGATTCAATTATTTTTAAAAATTTTATTAATCAATACAATTTTAATTGAATTCCTTGAAAGAATTGAATTATTTTCAAGAATTTTAATACAATTTTTCATAGAAATTCGATTACTTTTAAAAAATTCAATCAATTTTTTTGTCAAGAATTTATTTATCATTACAAAAAATAAAATTTTTCGCAGAAATTTTAGAAAAATTGAAATTCATATCAACTGAATGTAAGCTTAATTAAAAATAAGATAAATATTACAGAATTCAAAAGATTAAAAATTTTGACGATTTAATTTCAGAGTCAATTAAAATTTTAATCCTTGAAATTTTCAACAATTTATAATTTTAATTTATTGAAAATATAAATTAATTAAAATTCTCTATGATCCCTGTATTAGGACACAATCTTCTTTCTTGAACGAGAAAAATTAAAAAAAGAAACTTACATGTAAATCACTCAAAGCCGTTTTTGCAGCATTGTAATCGTCCTCTAAACGTTGGCAAATCTGTCGAGAAAAATATGTCATTTTCTCAATGAATATTCTTTTACAAATTTTATAATTATTTACAATTCATTTTATTTCTACACTCAAATTTTCCAGTTTAATTTTCTAAAATCTACAAGTGTAGAGGGAAAAAAAAATTCCCCTACGAAATAATTGCAAAATTCCTCCTTTTGAAAATTTTTCTTTAATATTCTCACCTGTTTATATTCGGCAATGATGACATTATTTCTTCTGCTTTCGGTATCAGCTCGAGAAACTTCACGCTGTAATATTTCTTTAACTTGAAGAAGTTCAGCCTCCAATCTCTGTTTTTCCTCCTCATTTCTGGCAACTGAACAACGAAGTTGTTCCACTTCGTTACTGTATTCATCCGCGTTTTCCTGTGCCTCTAAAAAACAATATTTTTTTCCCAAAATTATTAAAAAACAATATTTTTTTTCCAAAATTATTAAAAAATAATATTTTTTCCCCAAAATTATTAAAAAACAATATTTTTTTCCCAAAATTATTAAAAAAACAATATTTTTTTCCAAAATTATTAAAAAATAATATTTTTTCCCCAAAATTACTAAAAAACAATATTTTTTTCCAAAATTATAAAAGAACAATATTTTTTTCCCAAAATTATTAAAAAATAAATTTCTCACATAAATATAAATTCATAAGTAGAATAAATTAATCATCTTATCGATATTTATATTCTCGTATCAAACATTTGGAAATGTCTAAACGTTTTCACTTGAGAAAAAAGTGAAATATCCAATATTATCAAAAAAGGGAAATTTTTAAATAATTTATTGTAAATTAAAATTAAATTTGAAAAAAATCAAAATTAAAACCAAATTTGTAAAAATTGTCAAATATGGTTTTAAAAAAATTATAAATAAAAATAGATTTTCTATTAAAATTAGAAACAGAAATTTGATAGAAAAATAATTGAAAAAAAAATCTAAAATAAATAAAAAATTGACTAAATTTGGAATAAAAATTAAAATTCAATTTAGAAATGCGAATTTTCTTACTTTTTATTAAACTCTTTGCAGCATGGCTCATGTTAATAATATGTGGGCGTCAATCGGTTCAAATATCGTTAATAACATTGTCACTCACTCAGAAAGGCATTCGTACCTATATCTTATTGCGACATTCGGCCCCTTTTTTAACTGCTGGTGTTGCTGTTTATATACATATTTTGCCTTTTACAACACAAAGCACATCACGCTTATAATAATAATACACTGATCTTTTTTTATCACTCGCGCTTTTAAAGATAAAATATATCAAAAAAAAAAAAAAAAAAATAATATTCATAAAAAATATTCATTGACATGCAAATTATTAACATAATTAAAAAATAACCGTCACTTTTTACTCAATTTTTTCCTCACAACTGCAAAGTGTTTAATAAAACGTTTCATTAAAATTACACATCATCGTAAATGAGATGTTTTTTCTCCTTTCGATATAAATTCACAATTTCAAAATCGCAGAAAATAAATTTTTTCTTAAATAAAAAATAACATTTTTCTTCAAAATAAATTTTTCTTTCGCCTAATTTAATTTGAACATGCTGTTTTAAATTTTATTCGCTGTTCAATCGAAAGCCTATGGTTAGTAATCTCAGAGAATATTGAAAAGTTAATAATAGTGAATAATCCCCCGAGTGTCTCATGCATTACTGTAAAAAAAAATAAATAAATTCGGAAAGCTTGACATTAACACAGGACAATACAAAAGGGAAAAGGGAGTAATTGATAAAACTGAAAGTGTTCTAAAAAGGAATTTATTCTCATCAAACGCGATAACAAAGAGTGACACAAATTTTGCACAAAGATGAATGAGAACAAAAAAAATAATTTTTTTTTTACGCATTATTTTGCGTTCGGTGCGATAAACTGTAACAAATTAGCAATAATCTAAATTTCAGAATTTTATTCTTTTTCCTTTATTAATTAATTATTAATTAATAAAAACACCAGTAAATTCTGTCAAATTCGTAGAAAAAAAATATCGTAGCAATAAATAATAATTTGTAAAAGGTTTTTCAATGAATAAAAAATATATTTTATCCTAAATTTCTATTTTTTTCTTCAGGTGATTATTATTTAAACAGGTAGCACTACTATTATATTAATTATAATTCTATAACATATTTTTAGTTATTAAATTCCTATAAATAGATATTTTTATCTAGAGATTACATATTGAGAAGACGATTTTAAATAATGTCAAGAAATTTTTGTTTAGGACTAGAATCGCAGTGTAGGTGACAAAATATTAGATTTTGGCAACATGCATTTACTTTTAATTAAACAAACTATTTTTTTAATTAATATTGTTTGGATAAATATTAATATTATTGACTTTCCCTTAAAATAGTAAATAAAAATGATTAGATTAAAATATAAAATAAAAAATAAAAAATCGAAAATCTAAACTATGAAATATAAAATTATTTCAAAATAGTTTTTTGGGTTTTAGATTTTAATAAAATGTGATATATTGAATTTTTAAGAAAACTTGTTATTCTTAGTACCTAATTTTTCTATTTTTTTTTGTCATTTGAGTAATTATTTCGCTCATGGAAATATTTCTTCAAAATTTTAACATAAATTAAAAAATAAAATACTGCTAATTTGAAATACAATTTAAAAAAAGTAAAATATTGCTCTAAATAGAAAAAAAATATTGCTCTAAATAGAATTAAAAAAAAATATTACTCTAAATACAATTAAAAAAAAGTAAAAAAAAATATTACTTAAAATACAATTGAGTAAAAAATATTTTTGATTTTTTAAAATTAAATAAAAAAATGGCGTAAAATAGAATTAAAAAAGGTAAAAAATATTTTGACTTTCTTAGTTAAGTAAAGTAAAATTAAAAAAAAACAGTAAAAAAAAGATTGCTAATTTGTTTAGTTCATTAACTTAAGTTTAGTTTGCTACTCACAAAACATAAATGAAAGTGAAGCAACTACGACTTTAGACAGAATGACAGTCACCAGAAAACTACGTGCAAAAGACAAGTGCATTAAGGTACATACGTTGCAATAAAATTGACACGATGATTCATTAAATAACGAGCAGGTAATCAGCATATGAGGTATTTTATGACTGTGAGTTTTTTTCCCTCTCTCTCTCTTTTTTCTTAAAAAAAAACAAAAAAAAAAAGAAAAGAAAAAACTCAAACGTAGAAGATGAAATTACCTTTGAGGGTCATGAACTCGGCTTCGTACTTCTTTAGTTTTTTCAGCGTTATCGAACATGCAAGCTTCATCACGTAACGCGACACTTCTTCATTACGACAACGCTTTGGCAGGTGAACTCGGAAGTATTTCAAAATGCTCTCAAAGTCGAGCTGGAGTAGTTCTTTTTTACACAACTGAAAAAAAGTGATTTATTAAACTTTTGTTTACAATAAAACTTAATTTTCAAGAAAGAGAAAGAGAATCTTTTTATTCTTCTTAACCTTTTACTTACAAAAAATAAGTAAAAGTAAAAATCATCTTTTTGAAGGAAATTCAATGAATTAATTAACAGGTTTGCCACAAATATTTAATTTTATTTTTCCCTGATTTCAAGACAAAATTTCCCCTTTTTCCTGACCTTAAAGAATATTCCGATCCACTCTAAAAATTATTTGATACTCAAAAAAATGTTCTAATACTTTTATTTGCAAATTTCTCTAAAAGTAAAATTATTCAAAAACATCATTCTTTTTAAAATAAATATTTAATTATTATTATTTTTCTGTAGGAATTAAAATTCTTCAAAACATTCAAATTCGAACCTTTTTTGAAATTCAACAACTTATAAGAATATTATTACAAAACATGAAGAAGGCGATCACTCCGAGTCTCCGAGTCTTCGACTCGAAGTGATCGCCTTCTTTATGTTTTGTAATATTTTAAATTACCATAAAATTTTTCAAAATAAAGTTAATTATTTATAAAAATCCCAATAAAATCCTTCCCAAGAATTCGATCATTTTTACAAATAGTAAAAGTTCTCAAGAAATTGAATTATTTACGAAAAATGCAATAAAATTCGTTGCAATAATTCAATTATTTTCATAAATAATAAATCGATTATTCGGTAATTCATTTTTAAATTTTATTTTTATTAGAAAATTCTAAAAGAATTTAATTATTTAAATTAAAAAATAAATAATTTATTGAATAATTGAAAGTTTGTTAAAATTAAATTCTCATGAAGAATTTTATCAACAAATTTCTAAATAATTGAATTCATTTGACAAATGTTAATAAAATTTTTAAGAATAATTACATTTTTCGAGGAATTCGATTAAAATATTGTATCAAAAATAAATAAAATCCTGCGATGAGTTTTATTATTTATAAAAATAATTAAAATTTTCCCAAGAATTTTATTAAAATTTTTCTAAAATAATAAAAAAATTGAATTCTTTCGAAAAATTTCATTAAAATTTTTAAAAATAATTCAATATTGTAGAGAAATTTTATTAAAATTGTATTTTCAATTCTTGAAAAGAACTTTGTTAAATTTTTTTAAATAATTGAATTTTTGCGACGAATTTTATAAAAATCTTTTTAAATAATTGATATTTTTCGAAAAATTTTATGGAATTTTGTATTTTAAATAATTGAACTCCTGTAAAAATTTGATTACTTATGAAAATAATTGATTTATTTCGAAGAAATTTATTTAAAATATTGTAAATAATTGAATTCCTGTGAAATTTTGCTAAGAATTTTATTAAAATTTTTAAAAATAATTTAATTTTGATGCAGAATTTTATTATTTATAAAGATAATTGAAATTTTGACGAGAATTTTTCTTAAATTTTTGAACATAATTGAAATTTTGGGAAGAATTCCTACAACTTTTGAAAATAATTGAATTTCTGGAATCATTTGTAACTTTTCCAAAATTCAATTTTTTTAAAGTATTTTTAACTAAAATTCTTCTATTAATCTAGTGTTTATGAAAATTGTAAAAATGATTCATTAAATAATTTATAAGTCATAATTTTATGATAGTTCTTGAAAAATTAATTTATTTATGCAACAATAAATTATTGTCAGAAATAGAAAAAATTGAAGGTTTTTTATTAAAATTCGTGGTAATTTCATAGTTTACGAGGCAAACAAAAAAAACATCAAAATTCAGAGTTTTCTCATGAATTTTAAAAATTCAATTTTTTCCAGTACTTTTAATAAAAATCCCCGACTTTTCTCTGACTTCCCTGACCTGTGGCAACCCTGATTAAAAACTTGCAGAGACAATTGTCGAAAATAAATGAAAGTAAACAAGAAATAAAATAGAAAAAAATAAAAAATGAAGATTAGAAGAATTATTATTCTCTAGAGGATAAAAAATTGACAGTTCTCGAGAAAAAAAAATGTTTCGGTAAAAAATACTCAAAAAAACTCACCATGAGTAAAGCTAATGCTACTTGAAAGAGAGTGTCGAGTCCCTGGAGGAGAAAAACATCCAAAATGTGGAAAACTAGATACAGGGGAAATTTGGTGGTAAAAAGAGTAAGAAACCATTGTGCGGCAAACATGTGCGTCTCTACGCCGCGATCACAGAAATGTTTGTAAAGTTCCGGCAATTGATCCTAAAAAACAAAAACGTAAGTACAACAAAAACAAAAATTATAAACATAAACATTTTTTTTTTTGCTTCAAAATGTTTCCACTTTTCAAAAAAAAGGAAAGAAAACAAAAAAAAGAAAAACTACCTCGATTAGGCGTTGAAGTTGATAAAATTTCATGTGAAGATTATCAAATCTATCTTTATACAAGTCACGTAATCCATAATCGTACATTAATTTGACCAGAACGCAAAAAGCTTGTTCCTCCGGCATCTGTGTTTGAAAAAAATAATTAAAGAGAAAATTAATCAGTGAATATTAATTAGTTAATAGAATCTGAATAATTGATAGAATTTAAAAAAATATATATATATAATTTATTAGAGAAATTCTGGAGAGTTATGAAGAGAAACGAATTATAAAAATCTTACGTGTAATAATAAAGTGGCGACTAAGAAACTAAGGCCCTGACAGTATCCAACTTCTTCATCGTAAACGGCATACGCTTTACTTATCCTGTAGAGCGAATCTTGGCCCAATCCTCCGGTTTCCTTGAAAAAATCGTGCGCAGGAAAAGTTCGATTTATATCCCTCAAAATTACGCTTTCACAAGTACTTTCCTGTAAAAGAGAAGATCATCTTAACTTCAATTTTGAATTATTTTAGTTAGAAAATTAAAAAAAAAATTCATTTATTGAGTAATTCATTATTATTATAATTTGTAATTGATTTTTTTCTAAAATATTAATAGAATTCTTTGAAAATATTAGATTTTCAAAAATTTTAACCGAATTCAATTATTTTAATAAATAAAATTCTTCGCCGAATTTCAATTATTTTTAAAAAAATTCAATACAATTTTTTATAAGAATTCAATTATTTACAAGAATTTCAAAAAAGATTCTTTCCAAGAATTCAATTATCTTCATAAATAAAAAAATCCTTCACGAAAATTTAATTTTTCTCAAAACACATTTAATAAAATTTCAGTTATTTTTTTTAATTTTTAATAACATTTTTCGAAAAAATTCAATTATTTTCTCAAATTTTTAAAAATTCTTCGAAACAATTTTAAATTATTTTTATAAATAGTGAAATTCTTTGCAAGAAGTAAACTTTTATTTTTAAATAATAAAATTCTTCTCAGGAATTCAATTATTTTAATAAATATTAAAATTCTTCGTCGGAATTCAATTATTTTAAAAAAAATTTCACACAATTCTTTATAAGAATACAATTATTTTCAACACAATTTTAACAAAAATCCTCGAAAGAATTTAAATTTTCTTCGAAACAATTCAATTATTTTCAATACAATTTTAATGCAACTTCATGATAGAATTCAATTATTTGTAAAAGTTTTGATAAAATTCTTTAAAAGAATTCAATTATTTTCAAAATAATTGTAATTGAATTCCTCGGCAGAATTGAATTATTTTCAAAAATTTTGTTATAATTCTTTAAAAAAGAAAATTCAATTACTTTCAGTACAATTTTAATTAAATTCCTCGAAAGAATTTAAATTTTTTTAGAAACAATTTGATTTGTATTTTTACAAATTTTATTTGTTTGATTACTTTTAATTTAATTATTTTTATAAATAATTATGTACTTTGCAGGAAGTCAATTAGTTTCTTTACAATTTCAATAAAATTTCTCAAAAGAAGTGCATTATTTTCAAAAATTTTGATAAAACTCTTCGGAGTTAAATGAAATTATTAATAAAAATTTATTTGATTAATTAGTAATAAAAATTATTAGCAAAATTTCTTGATAGAATTCAAGTAAATAAAATTTTTTTAAAAAATTACTTTAGAAGAATTCAATGAATTTCAGTTCAGTTTTTATTAAATTCCTTGTAAGAATGAAATTTTTTTCAAAAGTATCTTATAAAATTCTTCGAAAATTTAAAAAGAAAAATTATCAAAAAGAAAAAAGCAAATAGAAGCAATTAACTTCAAACTGCCGTAGACATTCGGAATGAAACGAATATTAATATTGATTATTTACTATTAAAATTATCGCTACTTACTTTAGTAATTAACATTCGATATCTGTCCATCATTTCTTGAGAATTATCGCAATTACTTAATCTCTGCCAGACTTCGCCTCTCAAAGCTTCAGGAATTCCTTGCTTTGTTAATTTGATTAAAAGTTTAGGACGCTGCTCGTTAAATTGCCAACTGTCTAAAACTTCCGCCCAACTTGCTAGTTCGTCAGCTGAACAGTCTTTTGAAACTTCACCAGTGCCACTCAACATTGGCTCGTCTCCATCTATTTAAAATTTAATTATCCCTCAAAATTAAATGAACAATTTAGCTCTATTTTCACTATAAACACCAGTAAAGACAAAAGTAATTTTCTATTACAATAAAGAAGCTTTTAAAAATAAAAATAAAAATTTTTTAAATAAAAATGTCCTTTTCTTAAACTTCAAAAATAATCTTCTTTTACCTGAATCGATTTCTTCCTTTGGCGTGAGTGTATCGATACTCGTGAGCGAAGGCGATCTTATTAGTGACGCTAAATTGAGAGCAAGATTCAAACGATTTCTATCAAGTTCACCAGACGTTTCAATATTTTGAACCTCGTAATGAATATCCGATCCATCTCCCGATATTATCTGTTGGAAAAGAAAGAAAGAAATAATATTTATCAATTAGGAAAAGATTAATTAAATTAATATTAGTTTATATTAAATAAATTTTCAAAATGGAAACAATTTTCTTACCTCTTTTGAATTGAGGTAAAATTGTTGGACTAGATTCCTTTTATTTAAATACCAGAATCTTTCATTTTGAGGGAATATTTTAACGGCCGTTTCTATTGCAAATCTGACTGGTTCTCTTATTCCTCTTATAACTAAATCGACAGCGCATGTCATGAAAATTTTTCCTTCGCGCGGTGTTTCTACATTAAGAGATTCTAAAGAAGGATCCGCTGGATCCCATCGACCACAAATATTATAGCACTGCTTTTCTTGAACTAATGGACCGGCCGTGACTTGCTAAAAATAATTTTTCACAATACAATTATAAAAAAAGAATTATTTTAAAATTATTTTTATATTTTACAATTGAGGCTCCGGATCTTAAAAGGGCACTTTCATCATTGATTTTAAATTGTAAAAGTGCCCTTTTAAGATCCGGAGCCTCAATTAGAAACTAAAATTACAATTAGAAAACAATATATTTGTATTTTATTATTATTATTATTATAATTGAAAATATAAATTTCAAAATTTTCGTACCATTTCCAATAATCTCATATCACTGTGTTTAACATTTCTGCCAGGACTAACGAGTACGCCAAAGCATCTTTCTACTTCTAAAGTAATTCCACCTTCGCCTCGAGACACTTGCTGAATACTCAGACACACCTGTTTCGCGACATTGCTACGTAATTTAAAACAATTTCTATCTTTGGGAACTGTAGCGAAAGCACCTTTACCGTCCTCCTCTTTTATTTCCATTGTCACTTCAAAAATGAACATTCGAGAATTGATTTTTTCACTTCCTGGATTGAAACCATTAAAGTCGCTTCCGGTTAAAGAATTCGTCATTGATCGCGGAAATCTTTGAAATGCTTTGGCGAAACAGGCTGATACTTGTCCAACCTAAAACATTTTTTTTTAATGCATTTTCTCACTGAAAATGATTTATTATTTTTATTTTTAATAAAATATCTAATAAACTAAAAATATTTAAAAATAGGAAAAATTGTGCAAAAAATTCTAGTGCTAATTTTTTTAAAACAATTCAGTTCTTTTCAATACACAATTTAAATGAAATTCCCCGAATAAATTTAATTGTCTTTAAAAAATTTTAATGAAATTCTTTCAAACAATTCAAATAATTTGAAAAATTATAATAAGATTTATCGAAAGAATTCAATTAATTTCATAAATAATATAATTCTTCTCAGGAATTTAATTATTTTCAAATTTTTTTTTCTTAGTGAAAATCTTCGGAATAATTCAATTATTTCTATAAAAACATAAAATTGTTTGCAAAAATTCAATTATTTTCTAAAATTTTAATAAATTCTTCTCAGGAATTCAATTATTTTCTAAGATTTTAATAAATTCTTCGAAACAATTCAATAATTTTTGTAAAAAATAAATTCTTCTCAGGAAATAAATTATTTTTATAAATAGTAAAATTGTTTGCAAAAATTCAATTATTTTCAAAAATTTTAATAAATTCTTCGAAATAATTCAATAATTTTTATAAATAGGAAAATTCTTCTCAGAAATTAAATTATTTTAAAAATATTTTAGTGAAAATCTTCAGAAGAATTCAATTATTTCTATAAAAAGTAAAATTGTTTGTAAAAATTCAATTATTTTTAAAAATTTTAATAAATTCTTTGAAACAATTAAATTTTTTATTATAAATAGTAAAGTTCTTCGAAACAATTAAACTATTTTTTATAAATAATAACATTCTTGTCAGGAATTCAATTATTTATTGTAATAAAATTCTTTGCCGGGAATAAACTATTTTTAAAATTTTTAATAAATTCTTCGAAACAATTCAATTATTTTTGTAAAAAATAAAATTCTTGTCAGGAATTAAATTATTTTAAAAATATTTTAGTGAATATTTTAATGAAATTCTTCGCAAGAATTCAATTATTTTCATAAATAATATAATTTTTGTAAGAAATTCAAATATTTTCAAAGTTTTTTGATAAAATTCTTTGCAACAATTCAATGATTTTTGATACATTAGTTTTAAAATTGAAAACATTTAAAGAGAAAAATTATTTTCAAAAATTAGGAAACAAAAATTCAAACAACGATTAACTTCAAACTACGAACAAATTACCGGAATGTAAAGATTATTAATATAGAAGATAAAAGATATTTTTTAAATAAAAAATCTAATAAACTAAAAACATTTAAAAACATTAAAAATTACATTTAAAAATTAAAAACGCGTAATTTATTTTTTAAATTAGAAATTGAATTCTTTTCTTAAATTAAAATTTATTGAATTTATTTTTAAATGCTTATTATTATCTAATTAAAATTTTTTTTGCTTATTGATAATTAAAATTTTATTATTTATTGATAAATAAATATTTATATACTAAAAATAAATGTCGCTCGTTAAAAAAAAAGTTGTTACTTTGAATTAAATTTATAAAAAGGCGTTGAAATAGAATTTTCCTCGAAAATGTGATAAAAGAAACTTACGGCCTCTGGAATATCACACCGAAAAACATGACACTGAAAAATGGCAGATTCCAATGTATCACCGTGAGACCATGTAAATGCAAAACACGCAGTACATGGACCACTACATTCGCCCCTCGCGTAGAAAAGAATTCTATGCACCTCATATTGAGCTATTGGTTGCTGAGTCCCAGCATCGTAGAGGCTAAAAATAAATTCATTAAATTAATTAAAATAAATTTAAATTTCATTAAAAAAAATAATAATAAATAAAACCAAAGATTTTAATAAAAAAATTAACCGATTCGATAGATGTTTATAACTTTGGACCTAATATTATTAAAAGTGCAATGAGAACAATTTAACAGGCCTCGGATTGACATTAAGGTGCAAAAAAAATTGCGTTAGTCATTTAACGATTCAAAAAAAAGAAAAAGTCGGTTTATTTTATTCAGGTTTGTCGAAAAAATTACAATTTTTACTTCCCTGACCTTCTACTGATTTCTAAATTTAATTTAAAAAGTAAATCATTTTAAAATATTTTTAAATAAATAAAAAAAATAAAATCTTTTTTTATTTTTGGAAAATTTAATTAGAAAAATTTAAAAATAATTTTCGAAACATACACGACGCATCCTTGCGAACTGCTGGGCACAGAGACTGAAACCTTATTCAACGATTGTTCACCATTTAAAATTTTCATATTCCTCTGAATTTCGCTTTCAGATTTTGGAGCATTAATTGCAGCCGAACCAAGATAAGTGACCCCATTGAAAATTGTACACTCTTGTTGAACATCGGTCAATACATTTAATTCTGAAACTGAAAATTCAAATTTATTGCCACAGGGTGGTCAGATTTTATTCCATAAAATTTTGTTTCTATAAAATCTGACTTTACAATATTTAATTACAATAAAAAAAATTATCTCTCGATGACAGAAACAATATAAATGAAATATGAATATAATTGCCTTACCAATAATATCATCACTGTAATCATCAGGTTTCATAATATCTTGTTTCTCGGGCGTGACAGTCGAAGAGGCAACGTCATAAAATTTACTTTGACCAACTGATTTTGTTTTTAGACAAACTTGTGTATTTAATATTTTTTGATCACCAACTCCATTGCCCTCCATTTTTGAATCTTCGGTTAGTACCTGCAAAATTTTTCAAACGTTCAATAAATAGTTTTTTAATTAAAAACAGAATTAAGTAAGAGCAAAAAAAAAGTGAACATTATTTTCGTGAATACTGTGGGACTCAATAAAATTTTTAAAGGTGTGCAAACAAAGATGTTCGTACAAGGAAATTGTGCTATGTATTTACAATTCGATTTCAGAAAATTTAAATAACCAGAGAAGCTTTTAGAAATTGTTTGCGATATTTTTCAATTTTATGCAATAAAACTCACACACACAGAAAAAAAATTCTACAATAGAGAATGAAAGAAAATGAAAGAAAACGAATAATTCGTGGTCATTTACATGTTTCGAAGAAATCTACTAAAATAAAAATCCAAGGTTGCCACAAAAATTTAATATTGTTTTTCCCTGATTTCCAGACTTTTTTCTAATTGATTTTGATTTTTTCCCTGACCCTAAAGAATATTCTGATTAACTCTAAAAATTATTAGATACTAAAAAAAACTATTACATTTACTAACGAATTTCTTAAATTGTAAAATTATTCGCAAACATCAATAACTAAATTTATAAATTAGTATTTAATTATTATTTTTCCATAGGAATTAAAATTCTTCAAAAAAATTCTAATTCAAACATTTTTAAAATTCAACAACTTATAAAAATTTAAATTTCCATAAAATTTTTCAAGACAAAATTAAATTATTTACAAAAATTATAATAAAATTCGTTGCAAGAATTCAATTATTTTCATAAATTAATAAAATTCTTCACAGGATTTTAATTATTTTTAATACCATTTTAAATAAATTTCTCGAAAAATGAAATTATCTTCAAAATTTTTTTGCAAGAATTAAATTACATTTTTCACAAATAATGAAATTCTTTGCTGAAATTCAAAAATTTTCTAAATTTACTATTTTAATAAATGTTCTCAAAAGAATTTAATTATTTAAATAAAATTTAATAAAATTCGTTGAAGAAATACAATTATTTTTACAAAGTAATAAAATTTTTCACATGAATTCAATTATTTAAAAAAAAATGATAAAATTCGTTGTAAGAATTACATTATTTTCATGAATTATAAAATCTTTCTGAGGATTTCAATTATTTACAATACAATTTAAAGTAAATTCCTAGAAAAATGGAATTATTTTCTTAAATTTTACATTATTTCAATTATTTAAAAAAAAAATTTGCAAAAATTCAATTTCTTCCATAAATTAATAAAATTCTTCACAGGATTTCAATTATTTTTAATACAATTTTCCCAAAATTTTTCGAAAAAAATCAATTACTTAAATAGATTTTTATAAAATTCTTCGCAAGATTTCAATTATTTTTATAAATAATAAAATTCTTCTCAGGAATTCAATTATTTTTTAAAATTTTAATAACAATCTTTGCAAGAATTCAATTATTTTTATAAATATTAAAAAACTCATCGCAGGATTTCAATTATTTTTAATACAATTTTAAATGAATTGCCCGAAAAATGCAACAATTTTTAAAAATTGTAATAAAATTCTTTGAAATAATTCAATTATTTTAAAAATATTTAATGAAATTCTTTATAACAATTGAATTGTTTTCAATAATTTTAATAAAATTTTTTGAAAGAATTCAATTATTTTCATAAATAATATACAATTTTTACAGAAATTCAATTATTTAAAACACAATTTTCCTAATATTTTTAGAAAAAAATCAATTATTTGAATAGATTTTTATAAAATTCATTGCAAGAATTAAATTTCTTTCGTAAATTAATAAAATTTTTAACAGGATTTCAATTATTTTTAATACAATTTTAAGTAAATTTTTATTAAAAATTCTACGAAAATTTAATTATTTAAATACAAAAATAAATAATTTATTGAATAAATGAATGTTTCTTGAAATTGAATTATCATTAAGAATTTTATCAACAAATTTGTATTTTTTCGAGGAATTTTAATCAAATTTTCAAGAGTGATTAAATTTTTCGAGGAATTCAATTAAAATTGTATTAAAAATAAATAAAATTCTTTGATGAGTTTTATTATTCATGAAAATAATTGAATTTAACAAAAAATGTTTTTATTTATGAAAATAATCGAGTGTTTGTAAAAAATGTTATTATTTATGAAACTAATTGAATTATTGCAAAGTTTGCTTAGAATTTAACATTTTTTTTTTAAATAATTGAATTCTTTGGAAAAATTTTATTAAAATAGATCTTCAAAATCATTGAATTGAGAAAAGTTTTTTAAAAATAATTGAAATTTTGCGATGAATTTTATTCAAAATTTTTGAAAATAATTGAAATTTAGAGAAGAATTTTATTATTTTTAAAGATAATTGAATTTTGACGAGAATTTTTTTCAATTTTTTCAAATAATTGAATTTCTGCGAAGAATTTTATTGCTTTTGAAAATAATTGAATTTATGCAATTCATTTGTAACTTCTCAAAAATTCAATTTTTTCCAGTTACTTTAATAGAAAACCCCTGCGACTTTTCCCTGATTCCCCTGACCAATTTTACTTTCCCTGAATTTTCCCTAAATTCCCTGATTTTACTTACCTGTGGCAACCCTGAAGAAATAAAAGTTCATGGAAAATAAATTTTAACCGAATGTAAGGAACTTGAAAGAACAAAATTTGCTAAAACTATTCTAATGAAAATTTTTCACCAATTTGTCAATAATTTGATACTGAAAGTAAATTTTTCGTTCTCAACTTCTTTGATTGTACAAGTTAGTGAATTTTGAAAGAAAAAAAAATTCGCGATATGCACAAGGAAACTATTAAATTGCAACAATATGCAGATGACTAATTGGCTTGTTTTGAAACATTATAATAGTTTCCTTAAATCTTATCACGTTCTGGTTGTTTTTTTTTACAAATTGATATGAATTATGTCCTGAATTCGAATTGCAATGAAATTTAGCCATTACCTCGCGAAGGTTGTTTTGCAGATCCTCTAAATTGCCGTTATTGGCAATTTTAAGCATTGGCGGTTCAAGTAGCGATTGTTGTTTCGTGATACCTTTGTCACTTACAAATTCATATTCATCGCTTGTCGCCACAGATTCCATTGACTTAACACTCATACTATCCTCCATAACGAAGTCTAAAAATTGTTTTCAATAACAAAATAATGTACAACATTTTTGAACGACTACGAAATGAATAATAACAGAAATCTAATCTTTAGAAAAAAAAATTAAAAAACTATAAAATTTTTAATATCTTGACCCAAAAAATAATCTAAATTTTTTAAATTTTATGTTCCCTATTTAATGATAAACGTTGTTTACAAACATTGAACTTACGTAATGACACACAAATCGAGAACACAAGATTAGACTTGTCATTTACATTGACTATTTACAAGCAAAAAAAAAGGTGGGTAGTGATTTAAAAAAAGAAGAAAAAAAAATTCCCGAATGTGCCTATAAAATAAAACTAAAAGAGAGGAAAATTTTTCGGGAATTGAATAGATAAAATGCTTTACAAAAGTTGACGTGATAAAAAGCACGCCCATATCCACCACTAGCAAAAAAATAATCACTCTCTAAAAATATAAAAAAATAAAACAAATTATCAAAAACTTACCAGGAACGTTGCGAGATGATTCAGATCATTTCAAAAATTATCGAAGAACATTGTGAAACGCCTTAATTATAGTTGATTTTTTTGCAATCTTTTGATACCCCCTGCGAAGAGAACTATTATAGATATATTGCAAGGACAGAGAATCACCAAAGCACAACTGTCATATTCCAATTGTTTTCCAGTTTTTTTAAACACATTTGTTGGGAAAAAATTTCTTCCTATGGATATTTTGTGCCCATTGCACCTCACGATATGTTTTTTTAATAATATACTTACATCGTTTCTGTATTTTTTATGAGAATCTCGCGATTGATAGAAAGAATTGAAAAAATGACTGTCGCGCAGTGTCAGCCATAGTCAGCCATTCGGTTTTTTTTCCTTTTCAGCAGGCTGCCAGTTCCGGAAACATTCGAAAATTGCCGGAACGGAAGTCGAGAATGTCGACGACGAGTGCCAACTGTAGCAATTCGCGCGAACAACTTAGTAGAAAGCAAAGTGTTTTTTTTAACGAAGTTTTTTTAATTGCGAATTGTGATTAATTTAATAGTCGGAGTTCATAGTGCAAAACGAGTTCAATACACTTCTTCATTTGTGTGAGTTTTTATCTCTTTTTATCTTTTAACACGTTTAATACTCTTGTTTAGATTCACAACCATCCATTGTTTACAACCGAGGAGCAAAACAAGTGTGTTCACTTTTGTTTTGTTCCTCGGTTGTATTTATACTATTTATATCTTTTTTATTCGACAATGTGACTAAAATGTTTTTTTTCGAAATTTGCTAAACGATTTTACTTATTGTCATCTTATTGTTTGAGAATATTTACAATAATGTCGAAGTCGTCGAATTTTGTATACACATTTTTGAGGTTAGGTTTCTTTTCAACTTTCGGGTTTCTTTGGCGGGAAATTTGAAAAGTGGTTATTTTTTCGAATAAGAAAATGAGTTAACAAAATAGTTTCTCGTTTATTTAATTATTTAAAAGAGTTTAGAGAAAGATTTATAGTTTGTCAATTTAGTATATTTAGTTTTAACAATATTTTTATTTTTATTTTCCCTGCTTCGATATTTGAATTTCTTTACCGACAGCTGCTGCTGTTAGTGGTCAAAAGTGGAACTATCTCATCACTTTGACTCGCGGTATCTAGACGAAGAAATCCGAGTCCGGGTATTCCATGAATGGGTTATTCGGAACTTGTCGGAAATCTCTCGCGTCAGTGGTCAGTCCACAAACGACCTCCGTTCCCGTCGTCTGATGTGACAAAAGGCATTATTTAGCTAATTTTCCAGAATCTGGGTGCAATTCTATTGAAAATAGTGATTAAATTTCAAGTTATTTGCATAACAAGTTTTGTGACAATGTGCATAATTGATTAGTTTTCATCTCGTCAGTGTATCAAAAGGATTAATGTGAGTAAGCTTTTAAGTTCTCAACTTTTTGGTTCATTTTCTACTATAGAGAAACAGAATCTGAATTTCATCAATATTTTTCTTATAAAAAAAATCTGTTTATAAAAATTTACAAGTGCAAATTATGTGCAATCGTGAAAAACTGTCCTTTTTTCGGGGTGAAAAATTTGTTCAATATAATTCCTAAAGGCGGAATGTATCTCTCTCTCTCCGAAATGTGAGGTTATAAAATCGAAAGATCTGTTCTATATCTCTTTCCTTCTGCACCTGCCATCGTGGACAGCTGTTTTACATTGCAATTTTCTTTACTTTTTTCTCTTCAAACACATTCTCGGGGGATTCAATTTCAAAACTGTCAATTGTAATTTCCGTCCACTGTTTTTCATTATTGAAAATCAGTCCCGTTAAATGCTCCGGGAAATTGACAGCTCTCCAAGTTTTCATACATTATACTTGAATCTTGACACATTTAAAACGATGGGCATTCAATTTACTGATTTTATTTACAAAATGAAACGGTATTTCCGGAATGTTTCTCGACAATGTATTTTTGAGGTTTGAAGGATATTTTTTTTTTTTTATTAAAAAGAAAAGTGCGTGAAAATTTGACAATTGACATTGTTTCGTTTATTACTATTCACTATTCTTTGTTATATTTTTTACTAGTAGATTATTATTTACATTTCGCAAATAATTATTTTCGAAATATTTCAATCCTACGAAAAAGGAATTTATGTTTTAACTTTCTTCATTTTTGTAAATATTTTACGTATTTTCTTTTTTTACCTAAAAAATTATCAATTAAAGTGTTGTTTTCAGGAGAAAATCATAATATTTAAGGGGTAGATAAAAAACAAAGGCCTCTTTATGAGCAGTATTTTTTTTATTTTAAATCTGACATTTTTTATAAGGCAATGTGAAGCAAAATAATATATCAAAGATCTCTTTTAACACCTGTATAAAGTTTTGACGTTAACAAATAAATGAATCATACTTTTATTCCTTATCAGTGAATTAATTTTTTCGAGGAACTTTTTTTCGAACAGTATAATTATTGTTTATAAAGTGGCATTTGAATTTCAATTTAGTTTACAGAAAATCATTATTTTCATTTTATTTCTGAATGAAGACGATATATTTATAGAATTTGGACTAAAGTCAAGGTTTGTTCGTTTAATATGGAATCATTCGAATTTTTTTTAAGACATTGGAAATTTATTTTATGGGACTAAACAAAATATTTGGAAAAAACGTGTTTGTCTATTTTTACGTTCGTTTTTTTATTATTAGCTTTTTATTATTTGTCATTACTATTCATTATTACTATTATTTGTCATTACTATTTATTATTATTATTATTAATATTACTATATTATATTATTATTATTTGTTATTACTATTATTATTATTTCGTAAATATAAATTACTATTTATTTTCTATTTATTTTATTTATTTTTTTATTTCCTATTTATTTTATTTATTTTCATTCTATTTATTTTTCTATTCTTATTTACAAGTTTTTTTGTTGTTACAAGTGAAAGTAGTGCCTAAAAAATGTGCAAGTTTGAAATATTTCACGTTTCGTAGATAAAATGCTGTCATTTTAGAATTATCAGTTTTATTTAGTTTGACATTTTTTGTTTAATTCATACGATACTATCACGCAAGCACGCATTTGTCGATGAGCAATTTCAAAGAATTTAATGCCAATTTCGTTTAATCCTTACGTAAGGTTTTTATAAAGTCGATTCAGACAGACAGAGAGAGAGAAACACGTGTTCGCCTGCAACTATATTATTGAAAAATAATTTTATTTTTAAAGAAATGCAAACAATTGATGTCTGCCGATAATAATTAACGCAAAAGAATAGAAGTAGTCAACATCTGTCTGTCTCGAGTGATAATTGGTGCAAATTTAACGATTCTTATCACTTTTCCTGGAATAGCGAATAATACATTGGTATGTGAACAAAACGCACCCTTTTCTCTCTCTCTCGCTCTCTTTCTCTCCTTCTCTCTCTCTTTGAAGCTCAATCTTGGATTCACCCAATGCTTTCGAAAGCCGCCGAATAATCGATAAAACACGAGCGTCTCGTTACTTCATTTTACCTAGTCGACGATTCAAAATAGAATTGTGGGTATCATTTTACCAGCAGTGAATTTGGTATATGTATATAATAGGAAAATGAATATCCTCGCCTTGAATTTGTAATCTTGTATTTTGTGAATTAAAAAAGAATTTATCACTCTGGCGAAAATTGTCTATAATTTGGAAATTGTAAATAATCATCGTAAATTTTAGGGGAAAAATAATTTAACTTGAAAGGAAAATTATTGGACTTGATCAAACGTCAAATAATTTTCTTTTCAAGTTAAATAATTTTTTTCTAACGTCAAATAATTTTTTTTTCAAATTGAATACTTTAATTCGAAGAAAAAAATTTTTTAACTTGAAAAAAACAATAATTTTACTTGACAAAAAAATTATTTAACTTGAAAAAAGAAAAATTTGACACGAGACAAAAATTATTAGACTTGGAAAAAAATTAATCAACTTAAAAATTATTTGACACTCGAAAAAAAAATTATTCAACTTAAAAACAATTATTTGACACTTGAAAAAAAAATTATTCAACATAAAACAAAATAATTGCCACTTGAAAAATTATTTGATTTGTAAAGAAAATTATTAAACTGAAAGAAAAGTTATTGGACTTGACAGAAAAATAATTTGACTTGAAAAAAAAATTATTGGAGTTGATAAAAAAATAATTTAGCTTGAAAGGAAAATTATTGGACTTGAAAAAAATTAACTTGAAAAGAAAATTATTTAATTTTGAGAAAAAAATTATCTTGAAAAGAAAATTATTGGACTTCGAAAAAGATTTTTTCTTTTTACTTTAAAAAGAAATTCGAAAAAGAATGAAATTCAGATTCTCGATATAAGAAATTGCATTTTAAAAAAAAAATTAAAATGAAAATTTTACACTTTTTGCCAATTAATTAAAAATCCCTTTTCAATAATTCCTCTTCGTTTCAACATTAAAATTGTGAATTAAAATTTTAAACTCAGTTTCAGGTAATTAAACTCTTATCCGCACGGTACGATAAAAATGTGTTCACTACGATTAGAATTGATTATTCAATTTATATTTTAATGCGGAACATGAAAGGGGAAAAATGGAGAAAATCGTTTTATCAGCACACAATGTGTGTATTTTGTGTATTTTGTTATATGAGCAAAATTGCAAAATTGGTATCAAATTCTTGCAAAATCGAAACAAAAATACTTGACGATTAAAGAAAAAGCATAGAATCCAACTAATTAATCCAAAATACACGATTAATTATTAAAACGTTTTGTAAATTGTTCACAAAAGAAGGAGAGAAAGGCGAAAACAAAAATGACGCAAGTCGACAAAAGGAAAACTTAATTGTATTACTTGGGTTGATTTGTTATTTTTGTTAAATTTATATACATATATATAGTGAGTGTTGATGATTCACTTGTGAGGATAACGTAACAATGTCTCTTGGAAGTACTTTTATCGCAACGGGTGGTCTTACAACCCCTAAATTATTTTTATAGATTTGGTCGGTTTGACCTAGTTTATCTTCAACATTCAAGTTTATTCCATTTTAACGAATTATTCGATAAGCTTTTTTTTTTGATGATTTCGGACTTTTTAATTGTTTTCCGATACTTGAAATATTGCAGATTTTTAAAATGAGATGAAATTTAATTTTAGAAAAATTATTCATTTATTAATTATTATTTTGTTATTAGAGAACAAAAGTTTTTTTCTCAAGTCAAATAATTCGTTTTCAAGTAAAATAATTTTTTTCTCAAGTCAAATAATTCTTTTTCAAGTTAAATAATTTTCTTTCCAAGTTAAATTATTTTTTTCTCAAGTCCAATAATAATTTTTCTTTTCAAGTTAAATAATTTTTTTCTTAAGTCAAATAATTCTTTTTCAAGTTAAATAATTTTCTTTTCACGTTAAATAATTCTTTTCTCAAGCTAAATAATTCTTTTTTTCAACTTCAATAATTTCTTTCTCAAGTCAAATTATTCTTTTTCAAGTCAAATAATTTTTTTTTCTCAAGTCAAATAATTCTTTTTTCAAGATAAATAATTTAGTTTAAAGAAAAAAGTTATTTAATTTAAAAAAATAATTATTTGACTTGAGAAAAAAATTATTTAACTTAAAAAAAGTATTTGACTTGAAAAAAATTATTCAACTTAACAAAAATGATTTAATTTATAGAAAAAAACAATTTAATTGGAAAAAGAATTATTTAACTTGAAAAAAAAATTGTTTTACATGAAAGAAGAATTATTTGACTTAAGAAAAAAAATTTGTTTTCCTAAGTTCTCAATTTTTCTTTTAAATTTAAATATTTTCTCTTGCAATTTAAATAATTCTTCTCTCAAGTTCAATAATTTTCTTTTCAAGTCAAGTAATTTTTTTCTGAAGTCCAATAATTTTTTTTTAAGTTAAATAATTTTCTTTTTCAATCAAATAATTTGTTTTATGTTGAATAATTTTTTTTCCAAGTGCCAAGTAATTTTTAAGTTAATTAATTTTTTTCCAAGTCTAATAATTTTTGTCTCAAGTCAAATTATTCTTTTTTCAAGTCAAATAATTTTTTTCTCAAGTAAAATAATTCTTTTTTCAAGTTAAAAAATTTTTCTCTTTGAATTAAATTATTTAATTTGAAAACATAATTATTTGACATGAGAAAAAAATTATTTAACTTAAAAAGAAAATTATTTGACTTTAGAAAAAAAATTATTTGCCTTGAAAAAAGAATTATTTAACTGAGGGGAAAAATTATTCAACTTGAAATGAAATGAAATAAAGTTAAAACTAAAAAAAAACAAAATTCAACAAAAAAAAATTGAAAAGTTTAATCGAAAATAAAAAAATTAGTTTTGAAATTGAAAATAAAATTTATTTAAATTATACAATTTATCGAAAATTATTACAGTTATATTTCTTTATTAGGTGCTAATTATTTCTATAATTAAAGAATTTCATCTATTGCGAAATTAGATGCAATTTAATGGAAATTGTATTATTTTCACGAAGCAATTAATATTTCTTTTAATTATTTCTAATTGTTATTTGAAGATTGGAGAAGTGTTGAAGATTTTTCTCAAAAGTTAATATATACTTAGGGGCAGTTTTTTTTTGTTTTTGTTTATTTTTTTTCCTTTTATTAAATTTCGTGTCCTTGAAAATTTGCAGACTTGGATGAATTTCATGCTTTATTCGTTCCAGTTTGAAATTGAATTTCATTTTATTCATGTAGCCTCGTTTTGTAATCATTGGGGCGAGAGTTTTTTTTTCATATATATAGTGTCGAGTAAATTCTTCTATTTAGCGACTGAAACTTAATTCCAGGAAGCAAAAGTCTATTTTCGCATTCTCCTTCTTCCGGCGACTGTTATAATGTATGTTTTACAATAAAATTTGAGAAGGGTCCAAATTTTGCACGCAATTTACATAATAGTTCTCGTATTTTAATATAATATTGATGGCTTCTCACTAATTTTCTTTTTCTTAAAGCGCGACGAAATTTGTTTTGTCTAGCAAAACCGTGAAAAGTGATTAGTTTTCGTTCGCAAGTTTTGCAACAAAAATCCCTTGAGATTTAAAGTTGAAACGAAGTGTTGGAAAAAAATTGATTGTGTATTTTGTAATTATTTTCGAATTTATGTTTAAAAATTGTTTGTATTTTGGAGAAAATAATCATTTTCGAAATTTTTAATTAAAATTTTTCAAAACATTAATTATTTAATTATTTTTAAATTATCGAAAAGTTCTTTTAAGAAATTCAATTATTTTTGTATTGAAATATTTTAATTCTCAAAGAACTTTCGGAAAATTATTAAAAATTAATATAGATATTTGATTTAGAGATTAAGTTTAATTAAAAATTGTAGAAAATAATTGAATTTTGAAAGTAATTTTTAAAATTCATTTAATCTCTGAAGGTTTAAAATTGATATTTTTTTAATTTAGTTGACGTAGAAAAACAAATAGGAAGTATTTAAATATTTATTTTACAAAATTATTATAATTGAATTTCGAAATCAGTGAAAGGTCACGGAAATACAAAATAAAATTTTTGTGACGACACTGAATTAAATAAACGACTTTTTCTGTATTTTTAATCGGCTAAATATTTTTTGTTTAATTAATTAATTTCTTTTTAATTCATTTCTGAAAAAGAAAAAAAATTTGAAAACTTGAAAAAGCAGAAATATTTAAAAAAGAAAGAAAAATTATAAATATGTGCGGATGGTAATGCTAATAATAATAATATTTAAATGTATAAATTATTTATTAATTATAATTAATAATTAAAAAAGTATAAAAACATTGAAATATTTACAAAAATTTCAAACTCTTGAAAGCTTGTTTTACTTAATTTATTTCATTTCGGAATATATTTGGGGAAATAAAATAATTTTTTGAAATAATAAAACAAATAAATGAAATGCTGTGTTTGAATTAATAAAATTGCTTTTAAAATAATAATGAAATAGACCTTGGGTAATGTGAAATGTTTGAATGGCATTCTTTATTAAAATGTGGGTTCATAAATAAGTGTATAAATATTTAGGCTAATTGTTAGAACGACTAGTAAATTATTATGGGTGATGTAATTATCATCTCATGAGTAATTGTTTTTTCTTTTTTTTTCTTTTGTTTTGAAAGCAATGATCTGAATTTGTTTTTAAATTTTAAACTTTTTTGGAAATATTCGTTTTGTCTTATTATATAAATTTATAATAATACCTAATTAAATATAAATTAATAATAATATAAAAAAGAGAATATTGAAATATAGATAAAAATGGAGCTTAAATTTGATAAATTGGTAAATTAAAATGTTTACTATACGTTGATATTTTTAAAGAATTATTTTATTAAATTTCATAAAATTTTACTTATTTTCCGTAAACTTTCATATTTTTCTGTGAAAAGAATTTTGTCAGGGAAAATAATTTTAATGTCAGTAAATTGTGAGGAAAAATAATTTTAATGACAGTAAATTGTCAGGGAATTTAAATTTCAATTTGTGACCACCCTGAGTATTTAATTTTTTTTTACTGCTTTGAAACTTGAAGTACAATAATTTGGAATTATTTCTGAAAATTTTGTTCCTTTTGCAGGTCGAGATGGAATGCGATGGAAATACGGAGACAGGAAAGTGGCACTGAACGACGGATTCGCTTTTAGAAAAGCGATGTCGAGAAAATTTCGTCGAGGTTCACCACGTCTACCTCATCTTCTCCTCCGTCGTCGTCTTTTTGGCCTTCTCTGTTCAGCACAAGCGAGTCTAAGGTCGTGAGGTCAAAGTCTATACATAATATTGTCGATTCATAAAACGGCCGTCAAGTTCCTATTTCTCTGATGTTGTGGTGGGTCATCACCAAGCATTTATAAGTCGATAAAACGCATCCTTGAGCCACTGAGAAAGGAAATAGAAAGAAAGAAAAAAGAGAACCCTTTTAAGGGCCACTGACCTGCAAAAGAAAACAAGAAATAGTTTTTAAAAGGGGGTACATACAATTTTTTTTCCTTTTTGTTCCTTTTTTTTTCTTCTTCATCTTCTTCTTTATGTTATATTTCTTCAAGGAAAAATTATTGTTTTCCGAAAAGTGAAGTGCCTGGAGAGCTCAAGAGCTCCGAAAGCGCGATCAAAGTGAAGTGTCCGGGGCTGAGTGAAATGGCATTCATGATGAAAAAGAAGAAGTATAAATTTTCCGTGGAAATTGTTCTCGAGGAGCTAACTGCTGTGCCTTTCGTCAGTGCTGTACTCTTTGCTAAACTTCGACTCCTGGATGGCTCCTTCACCGATAATTCCACAAGGTAATTTTTTTCTTATCTTTTTTTCACCGAAAAAATTTTTCATTTCTTTATTTTTACACGTTTTTTATGAAACTTTTTTTGTTTCAACCGAATTCAGGGTTGCCACACATTTCAGGGAATTCAGAAAAAAAGTCGAGAAATTTGACCAAAAAAAAGTGTTTAGAAAAATATTAAATTTGTAAAATTTATAAGAAAATTCTGGATTTTAGAGTAAATTTAAAAAAAAAAAATTTGATAAAATTCTTCCAAATAATTAAATTATTTTCACATAAATAATAAAAATCTTCAATTATTTTCAAAAATTTTAATAAATTTCTTCTGAAGAATTAAATTAATTTAATAAAAATAATAATTGTTTTTTAAAGAATTGAATTGTTTTTTTTAAATATTAATAAATTTCTTCGTAACAATTAAATTTTTTTCTATAGTTTTGATAAAGAATTCAATTATTTTGAATGCAATTTTAATTAAATTCCTCTAAAGAATTTAATTATTTTCAAAAATTTTAATAAAATTATTTAAAAGAATTCAATTATTTTTAAAAATATTAATAAATTTCTTTAGAAGAATTCAATTATTTTTAAAAAAATCTTAATAAAATTCCTCGTAGGAAATCCATTATTTTAAAAAATATTTATATAATTCTTAGATTCCCAGAAGAATTGAATTGTTTTAAAACATTTTAATACGTTTCTTCTCAAGAATTCAATTAATTTAATAAATAATAAAATTTCTCTAGAGAATTGAATTATTTTAAAAAATCGTAATACAATTAATTCAATTAATTTCGAATGTTATGATGAAATTCTTATGATTTTCAAAAATTATTAAAAATAATTGATTTTAAAAACAATTTTTTGTTAAAAATCCTGGAAAAAATTGAATTTAACTCTTGAAAGGAATTATTTTAATTTGAATTTTCTTTTTAAAAATCGCTGTTTATTTCAAAATTCTGAAAAATAAGATTTTTCAAATTTTTCAATTCTATTGTTTCAAGATAATTGAATTTTTATAAACAAATATTGAAAATTTTTTAAATAATTGAACCTTCTTTACATTCTGTTAAAAATAATTAAATTAATTAATTTTTAAAAATTTATTCGCAGTATATTCAATTGTTTTCATAAATTCTCATTGCGAAATTTCAATTTTATTTTTAATACAATTTTAATAAAATTCCATGAAAAATGTAATTATTCTTAAAAATTTTATTAAAATTCGTCGAAAGAATTCAATTATTTTCATAAATAGTAAAATTCTTCAGATTTACTAAATTCTTTTGAATATTATTAAAAAAAAAAATTCTTCACAAGAATTCAATTATTCTCATAAATTTCCATAAAATTCTAAGGAACAATTTAATTATTTTCAAATGTAATAAAATTCTTCGCAGAAATTCAATTATGTTTAAAATTTTTTTTAAATTCTCCTCAAAATTTCAATTATCTTTATGAATAATTGTTTTCCACAATTAAATTATTTACAAAAATTTTAATAAAATTCTACGCAAACATTTAATTATTTTCATAAATAATAACATTTTTTGGAAGGATTCAATTACTTTTATAATTAATAAAATTCTTTGTAGAAATTCAATTAGTATCAATACATTTTAATAAAATTAAATTAATCAAATTTTCAATTATAGTTATGAACAGACAATATTATTTTTAAAAATTGAAAAATTTCTTTGTTTAATTTAATTATTTTCCAAATTTTTCATTTAAATTATTAAAAAAAAAAATATTATTAGACACCCTGAATTAAAATCGAAATTTGTGGTTTTGAAATACCAAAAATTCGGACTCATCATTTGTATAGGAAGTAGTGAGTGATGTACGTCAGTAATTAATATTTACGTCAGAAGAATCAGATTAGATAAGGTGTGAAATAATTTCTTTTTTTTTACTCATACCTTGTAAATTTATCAGCGAATTACTTTTATCAAAGAAAAGAAAATGAGACTTCGCCTTTTTTTAGATATTAATAATTCAAAATTGCAAAACTAGAGAAAAAAAGAATTAATTATTCGACAAAATTAGCCTTTTTTAAAAAAAAAAATTATAGAGAAATTTTTTTTTCGTTTTTGAGAATAAAATTCCTAATTGGTCTGGTTAATTTGAAGTTTTCCTAAAATTCGGATCATTTAACTTTAATTGTAACCAGCACTATTTCTATCTTTTCTTTTTTTTTTTGTTTCATTTTGAAATTTATTTTCATAGAAAATATTTTGTAATGAAACTAAAGTGTAATTCCTTTCAAACTGGTCACTCCAGCTATGGACATTATATACTTGTTGTTTTTTTTATACATTTCTTAACTAGAGTGATCACGATACACTTTCTCTTACATAAAATTTTACTTTAAAAGTCATTAATCAAAGTTTAAGCAAATTTCAACGAAACTAATAGTGCGAATTCTAAATTCTAAATTTAAAGTAATATTTATTTGAACACTTTTTAAAAATTTTTCTATTTTTTTTTTTTTTTAATAAAAAAATTAATAATTTTTTTTTTTTATTTGCAATCTGTTGTCTTAGAGAGATGAGAGAGATGTTTTTTTCGCATGCTGCAACTGGACTCGCTTTTAGGCTCTCATTTAAATTCTCTTTCACTGTTAGTGAATCTTAAACCTGAGTAAACACTTTCGAGAATAACTTCTCATCAGATTACCAGTTGTGGAATATGAACACGAAAGCAATAGAATGCACTTGCGGGGCATTAAAAAGAGTTCGTGTTTATCATGAAAATGTTTATGCAAACACGCAAGTGCTCAATGTTTTTTTCATAAGAAGTATTAGATATCTTTTGTTCTATTATTACTTCTAATGCTTCTAGTTATCAAATTCAATTTCAAAATTTCAAAGAAGAAACTTCAGAATATTTTGAATAAAATAAGTTTTTTGAAAAATTTTAATTAGAATTTTTAAAAGGCAATTAAGGGCTCGAACTAGCTCTGTAAATCACGTAAACGTCCCTAAATTTGCTTCAAGTTCGTAAAAGTCATTTTTTTAAATTCAATTATTCAATTATCTTTATAAACAATAAAATTCTTCTTCAAAATTCAATTATTTTCAAAAATTCTTTTAAATTCTCGTCGAAAATTTCAATTATTTTTATAAACAATAAAATTCTTCTTCGAAATTCAATTATTATTAAAAAAATTTTTTAAATTCTCGTCGAAAATTTCAATTATTTTTATAAACAATAAAATTCTAATTCGAAATTCAATTATTTCCAAAAAATTTTAATTTTATTATTTTCATAAATAATAGAAATTTCTCAGGAATTTAATTATTTACAAATTTTTTATAAATTTCTTCGGAACAATTCAATTATTTTCATAAGTTATATAGAATTCTTTTTAGAAATTCAATTATTTTTATAAATAACAAAATTCTTCAACGGAATTCAATTATTTTTATAAACAACACAAATTTCGTCTCAAGAATTCAATTATTTTCTTAAATTTTAATAAAATTCTTGTCAAAATTTCAATTATTTTCAGAATTTTCCCTTAAGTCAACGATTTTTAATATCTACTATTTTAATAAAATTTTCTAAAATAATTCAATTATTCAAAAAAAAAAAAAAATTATTAAAATTCAACACAAACATTTATTTTTAAAAATTTTACAGGAATTCAATTTTTTACAAATTTTTTATAAATTTATTTAGAATCATTCAACTATTTTCATAAATTATAAAAAATTCTTTTTAGAAATTCAATTATTTTTATAAATAACAAAATTCTTCACCGTAATTAAATTATTTTTATAAACAACAAATTACGTCTGAAGAATTCAATTATTTTCTTAAATTTTAATAAAATTCTTGTCAAAATTTCAATTATTTTCAGAATTTCCCATCAATTCAACGATTTTTAATATCTTGTATTTTAATAAAATTTTTCAAAAGAATTCAATTTTTACTTAAAAAAAATTTAATGAACTTCAACACAAACATTTATATTTAAAAATTTTATATAAATTTCTTTGGAATCATTCAATTATTTTCGTAAATAGTAAAATTTTTACAAGGATTCAATTATTTTTGTAAATAGTAAAATTCTTTTTAAGAATTCAATTATTTTCAAAAGTAATAAAATTTTTACAGAAATTCAATTTTTTTAAACATTTTAATAAAATTTTTGGCAATAATTCAATTACTTTTATAAATAATAAAATTTATTGCAGGATATCAATTATTTTGAATACAATTATACAGGAATTGCTCAAAAAATGTAATTATTTTTAAAAATTGAATTTAAATTCCTAGAAAAAATCAATTTATTTAAAAAAAAACGTTTTTTTTTAAATTCTTTGGAAGATTTCAATTATTTACAAAAATATTAGAATTTTTCACAGGAATTCAATTATTTTCAAATATTTTAATAAAATTGTTCTAAAGAAATCTATTATTTTAAATACAATTTTAATTAAATTATTTTGAAATAATTCAATTATTCTTTTAGAATTTAATAAAATTCTTCCCAAGAATTCAATTATTTACATAAATAATTTTTCGACAGAATGCAATTATTTCGATAAATAACAAAATTATTCCCGAAAATTCAATTATTTAGAGGCATTTTAATAAAATTCTTTACAAAATTCAATTATTTTCAAAAATAAAAATATTCATCAGAAAAATTTAATTATTTTCAAAAGTAATAAATTTTTTTTTTGAAAATTCAATTATTTAAAAAGAATTTTATAAAATTCGTCGCAAAAATTCAATTATTTTCGTAAATAATAAAATTCTTTTTAAGAATTCAACTATTTTTATAAATAATAAAACTCATTGCAGAATTTCAATTATTTTTAATATAATTTTCGTCAAATTTCTCGAAAAAAGCAATTATTCTTAAAAATTTTATTAAAATTCGTCAAAAAAAAATTCAATTACTTAAAAATTTATTGATAAAATTCTTTGAGAATTCAAATTTCAAGAATCATGCAACCATTCAACAAATTGTTTTGTTTTTTATTTAAATAATTG